GGGTTGAAGAGACGGCTCAGAGGTTAAGAGCATTGGCTGCTCTTCCAGAGGTCCTGAGTTCAATTCCCAGCAACGACATAGTGGCTCATAACCATCTATAATGATATCTGGTGCCCACTTCTGGCTTGCAGACATAGGTGCTGGAAGAACAATATATGCATAATAAACTTTAAAAAAGAAGCTGGCATAGTGTACAATGGGGTGCTACCCAGAAGTAAAGAATAATGAGCTACTGAACAGCTTGACAATTGGGATGAATCTCTGGACAGTTATGCTCAGTGCAGAAAGTCGGTCTGAAAGTTACTCTCTGAGTATGTTTACGTAACTTTTCAGAGTCACAAAATTATAGGAGAAAAGTAATGGATGCTAAGCATTTATGAGGCCAGCATGGATGGTATCATAGAGCTGTAAGGACCACATGCCCTAGCTTAGCCTTGCGATGCTCTAGAAATGGCAGAGGAAGGAAGGGAGGAAAGAACCGAGACTAATGCCTATATTTTTCTAGAGAAGTATGCTCGCTGGGTCTGGAACACTAAAGCTTTCCCTAGGTGGTGTAGATATGGGTTGGCTGACTCTGGCTTCATGAAGGGCATCTCACTCCAGAAGGGGAGGACACCAGGATTTGCTGTTAGGCCACTGGCTTAATCTTCTCTCTGCTTTTTTACTTTAAGCAAATGCACCTGTCAGCATTGTTGGAATGCTGGCAATTTGATGGCATCTCTGCAGTGTAAGGTCACATGGCCATGGGTCAGCATGGAATGGAATCCAGTATTCTGCACGGAAGCATGGATGTCCACTGCTCAGCAGTAGCATCTGCTCTGGGCCGCTTGGGCCAGAACTTTCAGGCATAGAATTCTGGTCTTTTCATGTAACTTCCACCTTTCTGGTAACTTTTTTTTAATTCCTCTATGTTTTTGCTCAGATTTGGTTGGTTGTCTCTGTATAATAATATTAAGGTATGGATAACCCAAATTCCAGAAATATGTCTTAAGGAAAAAAAAGGAGGCTTTTAGTAATTGGGTTTCAGAATCTCCTAAAGCGATCAGAAAGGCACCTTTGGATAAGACTTACAAATGTGAGCGTGAGGCTCTCCATAGTTCTTATCTGTCAGTTTTTATATATTCTTTTTGGACTCGTAGAGCCAAAGGGACTCAGCCATCACCTGCTCTGGTCTCTTCTCCTTATGTAGCGCCGCCTCTGTAATAGCCCTACCTTTTCTCTTCCTCACTTTATTCAGCTAACTAATGGCCAGAGGTGTTAAAATGAGAACATTGATCTTAACTGGGCTTATAACCAAGTCGGGGACAGTTGATTACCCGAAGAGACAGCTCTACCTTTCGGCTACATCTCCAGCCTTGAAAGGTAATTCTAGTAGTCATAGTGACCAGTGCGCCCTCTGTGTTCCAAGGTGGGTTGTATCATTGCAAAGTGCGAAACTCCTTAAAATCTGTCCCTGAGATTCCCAGCCCTAACCCTAGTTTTCAGTTTGCTCAATGCTCTAGGCTTGCTGTTTGAATTTGGTGCAGCCTCATACTTTCAAGAGAAAGATCGTAAACATTTTTGTAAGTGTCATGACAGTTTGGGAACAAGAGAAATGTGTGTAACAATTTTCTAGTAGATAAATAATTTTACATTTGCCAGCCTCCTAAAATGTAATTTTCGAGGTAGAACTTACTTTTCTTCGGAGTTAAAAGGAACATTTCCTCATATAACAAGCCCTTTTAAGAAGTAAAACTTACTTCAAAACTCATTCTAAAAACCATTTTGATGTTTTGTAGCTGGTTTGAAATTATCTTTATTTTGTGTGTTGTCTTCAAGCAAAATAAGCTGGAAGATACAGAAAAGTATGAAGATAATAAAACTCACTTTACTGTCAAATGGAATTCTTAGTGATATGTGTGTGTGTGCACCACAACTTCATTTTATAAGGTTAATTTTGTATTGTTTTATAGTATGTCTTTTCCCTCTTCAGATCCTAATGTTCCCACATAGTTTGCAATTGAGCAAAATCAGGATCTTTAAATATTTTACAGCAATTTCATTGCACATAACTTGATGTGACTCGTTTATTTTGTGTTGCTCTGCAAAATACCAGTGTCAGCCCCTTCTGTATAACAGGGAAAATAGTTTCAGCCCATAGTTACGGGCCCTTGACAGCATGGCACCAGCATCGGCTTCTGGTGGCAGCACATCCTGGCAGGTGGCATTATAGCGGGAGAGCATGTAAGTCTGTGAAGTCACATAGTGACGGATGACTGGAAGAGGGAGCAGGCTTGCCCTCTGGTAGCAAACCACTCTTGGGAGAACTAATTGAGCTCAATGAGACTAACGCCATCCAATGAGGATGGAACTGATCCATTAAAGCGAACCCCCATCACCACATTCTACTGTGTCCTCCTGACAAGGCGCCAGACCCCTCTCAACTTCAGCGCCTCGAGGACCCAGCTTCCAGAAGCACCCTTCGGGAGACAAGCCACACCTGAACCATGGCACACAGACAGTTGACTTTTGCTGGTCGTCTGTGGCATTTTGTGAACGCTCTATGAATGGACACACGCACCTGGAAGTAAAAAACCCCGAAGCAGGGGCAGTGTAAGAGGCAGGCGGCAGAGCAGAGCTTCTACTTTTCATTATTGGAAGTTCCAATAATCACCTGCTTAAAATCTCAGTCCTAGCCGGGCTTACTGTCTTTGAAACAGGATTGCTGGTGGTGCTGGCGGGGAGGGTTAAGAGTTCTTACTGCTCTTGCAGAGGATCCGATTTCAGTTCCCAGCACCCAGGTCAGGGGAACAGATAACACTCTTCTGACCTCTGTGGTCCTCTGAATATACACAGCATGTATACTCACAGAGACAGACACATAAACACGGACACATAAAGATAGAAGGAATGATGGACACCCTCATGGAGGGCATCACCCTCCCTGGGGGAATGAGGGGATAACTAACGGGGGGGTTGGTTTGGGGGGAGGGCACAGAAGGAGGGGAGGGAATGGGAGAGGGACCTGGGACTGACTTGTGAAGCAACCTCGTTTCTTATCTAAATTTAAACTGGAAAATAAAATTAAAAAAAAGAAGGAAATCTTTAAAACCTGGCTAGTGAGATTTCTATCACACACACACACACACACACACACACACACACACACACACACACACACACACAGGCACACGGTGGTGAGATTGCTCAGTGTGTAAAGGCACATGCCATCAAACCTGACAACCTGAGTTCAATTCTCAAGACATACATAGTGGAAAAGAGAAACAACTCCTGGACCTACATACATGTGCTGTGGCATAGGCATGTCCATGCACATACACAAACACATAATAAATACATACAATAACATAATTTAAAATACCAATACATCATTGCCCCCCACCCCACCCCTCTGCCATTACTTTATTGTTTTTCCAAGACAGGGTTTCTCTGTGTAGCCCTGGCTGTCCTGGAAACTAGCTCTGTAGACCAGCCTGGCCTTAAACTCAAAGTTCTGCCTTCCTCTGCCTCCCAAGTGCTGTGGATTAAAGGTGTGGGCACCACTGCCCAGATTTTTTTATATCATTAACCTTTTTAAATGCGTATTTGTGTTTTTCCTGCATATCTGTCTGTCTGTATGTGAGAGTATGTCAGGTCCCCGGGAACTGGAGTTACAGACAGTTGTGAGCTGCTACGTGGGTGCTGGGAATTGAACCCAGGGCCCTTTGGAAGAACAGTCAGTGCTCTTAACTGCTGAGCCGTCTCTTCAGTCCCATGGCCTTTCTCTTTAGAGCTATGTTTTGTTTTGGAAGAGTGTTCGCTCTGTAGCATGGGCTGGATTAGAACTCACTGTACACCCTGGGGTGTCCTCAAGTTCTGACAGGCCTCATCACTCCCAGGATCACAGCAGGAACCACCACACCTCGCTCCTTTACAGCTGCTTGCAGACGCTACCGTGGTACCTCCTTTGCCAACTACCCTTGTCTTCTCTCTGTTTCCATGACTACTGCCAACGTTGTTTACACGGCCATCCCAGAGTCATGTGGAAAAGAATCAAGTAATCCCAGAAGTGCCCTTAGTAGCAAACTGTGAAGCATGTTATTTGGAGTGAGTCCCTGAGAAAGCTGGGTGCAGAATGCAAATATTTTGAATGGACTTATCTTAGAGTTGTACTGCTTTTTTTCCTTGTCATTTTAAAACCCTTAATACGAATAAATTGTTTGCATAGTGGGCTTTAAAAAAACCCGCAGATAAGAAATACATAGTTTGAAAGCAGGGAATAAAAACATGAATGATAATGGATGTAACGCCCATGGAAGGTCCTTGCTGCTGCTGCCAGGCAGACCTCATAATCGGCTGTTTTCTGTGTTTATTTCAGGATGTAGATACTGGATAAAAGTGGCTGGTTGGTTGCCAGCCTATGACTTCGTTGCCAAATGGAGTGTTTAGCACTTGTTGGCTATGACTTATATCACAAGTTTCTCCCATTAACGGTCTGCTGGTGATAACCTACTTGGCTTTTCATGTGGTCACTTTGAAACAGCCACTTGACAACATTGGGTATATCACAAAGTTTCTTGCTGAATAAAGGAGTGAGTGAATGATTGTATGGGCTCTGCCATATAGCGATAGGCTTCCTGGTAAAGAGCGGGAACCCACTCAGCCCCTGCTCAGTGAATGAATTAATCCTGTTGGAACGGTTTTTCTGGCTCACTGTCTCGAGGTGTGTGGGCTTGAACCTTAAAAGTGTGATTAAATGGGTAGAAACATAGAGAAATAATAGTATTCAAATGTTGATGGGGCTTGCATTTGTATGGTGAGCAGTATTCTGCTTGTAAGTAGAAAACTGAGTTATAAATGTTTTAAAGTCTCAAAATTTTCTTGATTCCAAGTCAAATGCGATCTCACATCTGTGGTGTTCGTAATATTTGGTCTTAGAAATCAAAAGAGAGATGGCTTCAAGAATCTTGTTTTCGATTACTTATAAAATATATGCTAAATATGTTAATCTTCATTTCTAGATTGAAAACTTGCAAGAACAGCTTAGGGATAAGGACAAACAACTAACCAACCTGAAAGACAGAGTGAAGTCATTGCAGACAGACTCCAGCAACACGGACACTGCTCTGGCCACTCTGGAGGAGGCCTTGTCAGAAAAGGTGAGTTTAGCCTCCAAAACAGGGGTTCAGAATTTAGGGAAACAGTATCTGGAGGCATTGATCCAAGTGCATGCAAGCAGATCTGCATCTCCCTATCCCTACCCTGCCTCTAGTCTCACCTGGTCCTCAGACGTTCATGTCGCCAGGAGACGGGGCACACTGCGGCCACAGACAATCTCTTGAAACTCAAAAACAGCATCACCCCGGCTGTTGGGAAAGCATCCACTAGCTTGCCGCTATGTTTTTGGTAATAAAGCTCAGCCTTCCCTGTAGGGTTGCCGATCCTTCCTGCCAGGCCCCTTCTGGACGGCACCTCTGCCTCTCGCTTGTCTCTTCCTCACATCTCTGCGCTCTGGCGTTGTGGGTCCTGTAAATCTCAAGTGTATCGTGTTATCTTCTGCCTCCGTTACTTTGCATTTGCTTGCTTAGAATGAGATTTCCTACGGGCAGATTTAGTTCTGCCGAGTCTTCCTGGAGGTGGTGTTGTACAGCAGTCAAGAATGTGGACTCAGCAGATAACTGTGTGAGCTCAAATTCTAGGTCCAGTACTCACTATTCAGGCTGCATTAGTTAGCCTCTGAGTTCTTCAGTGTCTTCATCTGTGAAATCAGGGCAATGAAAGTCAGCATCTTGCTGGGTGGTGGAGGCACACATCTTTAATCACAGCACTTGGGAGGCAGAGGCCAGAAGATCTATGTGAGTTCGAGGCCAGCCTGGTCTACACAGTGAGTGCCAGGGCAGCCAGGGCTACACAGAGAAACCTTGTCTCACAAAACAGACAAACATTAATAAAAAAAAGTCCCACCTTAATGGATTATGTTATAATGAGGAGAGAATGTGTTTAGAGCAGTTGGGAGGGATTATAGTTGCCATTATTATTTAATGGGTCATTTCTGTAGAGACACCATGTTGGTGCCCCCATCCTTACTGGGATTATAACTCTCCGTGCATCCGTTTTAATGGGATTTACTCGCTCTTTATACTGGACTCCAAACCAAGATAACACGCCCTGTGTGTTAGCCTGCCATCACCTGGGCTTAGCAGAACACCTGATGGGCGTGCCCAGTAGACAGTGGCCACTGGTTGAATAACCCACCCTCAGTGTGAATGGGTGAATGTCTCAGCTCTTACAGAGTTCTCATTCTCATGAGGAAGAAGGGTAAGCAAAAAGCGATGAAAGGTGTTATTTTCTGCAGATGGAAAGAAGTCAGTGAAGGGTACGGGACTGAGTTCGAGACAGGAACATGGTGGTTGGGGAAAGACATGATGAAGTGGGGTGAGCCGCCAGTCCTTCTGCAAGACCATAGGTGCAAGGCAGAAGGGAGGCCAAGGAGTTTGGGGAGAAGTCAGCTATTAACATCTCTCAAGGCCTTGTTAAAAAGTGTCTTAAAACTTGCATATTTACTCTTTTTGGAGTAGGAAGTCAAGCTTTCATTGTGACGGACGTTTAAAGGCTTCCTGTGAATAAGAGAACTAACGAATGAATGAAACCCAGTAGACAGATAGGCCATCTGGGTGTTTGCCAGCTATTAAAGTGATCTCTAGTTGACTTCATCTGCTTAAACCCATCCATCCATTGACTGTGGAGCTCTTGCAGGCATGATGCTTATAGACCGAGTTCTACATTGTATCCTTAACTTTGAACTCTTCCCTGTGCAAGAGCCAGTGACTGCGCAGGTGCAGATGCAGTTCTTTAGTGGTTCTGAGATGGCTTGATACACCTTTGAATAACCCGGCCTCCAGTTCGCGTCTCTTTTGGAACCAGCTAGACAGAAAAATTATTCAGAGTGTAGATTTGTAACTCTGGGTTCATAGCATCTGAACTAGAGAACTGGAAGAACTAGATAACTAGAAGAACTAGAACTAGACAGCTAGAACTAGAAGAACTAGAGAGCTAGAACTCAGAACTAGGAGGACCAGGTGGGACAGGACTTTTGGCAATTCTAGAGAGCTGGAAACTGCACAACATGGACGGAAATTCAAGACTGATTTTAGAAATGAAGATGCTGCAGTCCAGTAAATCGCTGGTTGGATAAGTTTTGGCCACTGAGTTGCAAAGTCTATTTAGTATTGATTTTGGGGTTTTCACTGTGATGACAAATAAGAACTAATACAGAAGAATTTGTCTGGGGTGAATTCTGTAAAGAGACTTGAGAAAGAAGAATGCTACTGTATTACAAAGCACAGGAAAACTCATTGAAAAGGCGCTAGACTATTTAACTATTTCTTCCTGTAGGTCTGAAACATTTGGTTGTAGCCAAATAGTCTTATCACCTGAGGTCTTTTAACAGCACCATTGTCTCTGTTACTCCTAGTGACCTGTACTTTATAAGCATGATGCATTGGGAAAGCACTAATTTCTCACCCAGTTCCTTTCCCTATTGCTGTGGTAAAGTACTTTGACAAAAGCAACTTAAGGGAGAAGAATTCCGTTTTAGCTCATAGTTCCCAGTGCAGTCCTTCATGGCGGGAAAATCGAGGTGGAAGGGGCTGGAAAGCAGCCGGTCACGTGTTCACAGTCAGAGGAAGTGGGCTCCTGATGCACACATGCCGTTAGCTTTCTGCCTATACCACCCAGGTCGCACTGCTCAGAGACTGCTCATGGCCGCAAGTTAAGGAGATATTTCCATATCAGTTAGTGTAATTGAGAAAAAAGTGTCCCAAATGTATGTCCACAGGCTCCTTTCTCTGGTGGTCCTATGTCATGTCAGGCTGGCAATTGACTCTAATCATGTAGCCATGCTCCACCTGAATCCTCTCCTGTCTTCAAATTTCCACTGACAGATAGTCTAGTGCATTATTTTTAAGTTAAACTTTACACCAGTTCTCAGGACAGAAAGCCCCATTCATTCATGGTCAAAACATCACACAGACGCCCTCCTTCCCGGTTCCTTAGAGAGTTCCTGCTGTCCCCTGAAATCAGCGGAGCATTCACCGTCCATGTTTCTCTGAGTGTTCTTGGTCTTCCCAAGTCCCACCAGAATGACGCTCTAAGTTCTGCTTCTGACACTCGCCTGCTTTTCTGTCCTGCAGTTCCAAATCCTGTCACATTCCGGCCACAAAGCCCCCGTGGCCTCAGAACCACATAGTCAGGCTTCTCGTAGCCGCAGTGCCTCTTCCGGCACCACTTTCTCTGTTCCTTTCTTTTCCTGGCGCTGTAACAGCAACAAACTCCTCTTACAGAAGCACTGGAGGAGAGAGAATTGCCTAAGTCCTTCGTGGCCAGGAAGCCAAGGTAACAGGAGCCGAAGCATCTTGTCATGTTTCCCACCATAAGAAAAGGGGAACGATACATGCGTGTAAGCCACTCCTTAGTTGGTTCTCTCCCCCTTTATATGATGCAGGATTCCTTGCCAAAGGAATGTCCTTCCCCACAGCTAGGACGGGTCCTTCCCATATCAATTGATATAATCAAGATAATTCCCCCGAGGTGTGCCTGAGGGCCCGTCTCCCAGGCATTTCTAGACCAGGTCAGGTAACACTAACCATAACACTGCTCCTCCATTTTAAGGATAGGACACGGACTTGATAAAGTAAAATGCATTTCTTACAAATGAGATATTTGGACTGGGTAGGTGGTATTAATAGGTTGTGACAACTGGTCACCCAGGACCTCTGGAAGTCACTTCCATCCTGTCCATGCTGCCCTACGGTTGAGACTTTGTTGCTTCTCCCGGTTGATTCATCCAAGGCCGTCTAGCCCGTAAGTGAGGGGATGGAGTTGTATTAATTATCTTTCCAAGCTATGACCTGATACAGCAACTTAAAGGAAAGAATGATCTATTTCGCTCACAGTTTCATACTTGTTGGTCCATCATGGGGAAGAGGGCATGTTGGGGCGGGGGGGGAGCAGAGAAATAAAACACAGGAAATACACCCCTGCATCCTCCAACTGGATTCTGCCTTCTCCTTTCCCCTTTTCCTAATAATGGCAGTCGTATTATGATTCCAACGAAGGGTTAATATAGTCATTAAGCCAACCGCCCTCATGCCCTGATCATCTCTGGAAATAGGTTATAGACAGACATACCTAGAACTGTGCTTTATCTCCAACCACTGCTTGATACTTGATAGCTGTAATTTTGCTTTTGTTATGAATCATAAAATATGTAAATATGTTTGGAGATAGAGATTTGCCAAAGGGATCATGGCCAGCAGGTTGAGAACCACTTCTCTAGAATAAGGTGTGGTATGAAAAATAAATAGTAAATTAGAAAAAAATGATCAGTAAATTTTTGTGGGTGTATAAGTAATTATTTTTCTTTTATAGCTTTGGTAGTCTAACTCAGGACCTTACACATTCTAGGCATGTGCTGTTACGCTGAATGGTGTCCCCAGCCATTAATAAGTAACAGTTTGCTGTCTTTGGCTGGTTGTAGAATATGTCAAACTCTGCTTACTGTTTCCCTTTTATTATGTCACCAGGGGGTGTTTTTTCTTTTAATTCTCAGGAACTTATTCAACTGTAGAAGGCATACAAAATGATGCAGCTCATTGAGTCAAAGCTCTGTTATTTAGGCAGGGACAAAGCACGGTTGTAGAGCATTTGCTTAGCGTGGATGAGGCTGCCCTGGGCTGGAGCTCCAGCGCCAGTGAACATAAAGATTGTGTCACACAGACACTCAAGAGCTCTAACCCACTGTGCTTACACAGCTAGTCTGGCCAAGCCTCGCTGTGACCACCTCACAGATAAAGCAATTGGGGAAGCCGGATAGCAGAGCCCCTAGGCCACTGAAATGCATAAAGTACAAGGTGAGTTCAACTGTGTAGAGCCAGATGAGTGCCCAGGGAGTGTCTGCCAAGGCAAGTAGGGCTCACACAAGAACATGGTGTCAGATGATAGTTGTTCATCAAGAGGATCCTGGCATAGTAGGGCCTTTTAAACACATGCTTTTGACATTTGGCCCTCCGTATCTGACAGTTAATTTTGTGATCAATGAAGGAGTGTTTTATAGTATGGAAACGTCAATAAACTTTAAAGTACATTGCTTCTCTTTCTGTCTCCAACCCCCACCCCCCCCCCCCCATGCCCAGACAGTAGAGCCCAGTGCTGGAATCAAGCTTCCCTGCTTGCCAAGGGACTCCGACACCTTCCAAATGTTAACACAGTTCCTCATTTTATGACCCTGGCTTTGAAGCCAAGAGGATCCCTAATTTGTGTTCTTCCTTTCCTCGTTATTTTAAAGTGCCCTGTGGTATGCCAGGCCATTGGCCCAGCTCTGGGACTCAAGTGCGCTGCTCTTTGCCAGACTAAGCTGGGAGGAAGATGGATTTAAATCAAAACTATGTAAACCGGAAAAAAAAAGTCAACAAATACGATGTGGCCTGACTATAGGGTTTCTGGAAGGTTTACAGTCGGGTGACGTGTTCCTCTTGGAGCTTGAGAAGTGCCGCGCCCGTCTCCGCTGGATGGTGGGTTGGGATGGAGAGGTCCAGGTGGTGGAATGGATGGTTGCAGTGCAGGCAAGGATCAGAAAGACTGGCGATCTGAAGCTGTTAAAAGTCCAGAGAGGCTTGCGGTGCACAGCGGCCACTTCTTGCTTTGTGGATCACATGAGCACCTGGTTACTCGTCACTTTCGTTTGCAGAGTAAAATAGGAGCCTAGTTGGGATCAAGAAGAAATTAATGTGCTAAATTAATAGACCTATCTGGCCGAGCGGTGGTGGCACACGCCTTTAATCCCAGCACTCGGGCGGCAGAGGCAGGCGGATCTCTGTGAGTTCGAGGCCAGGCTGGACCGACAGCCTCCAAAACAATACAGAGAAACCCTGTCTCATAAAAACCAAACCAAACCAAAACAAAACAATAGACCTATCTGCTCTGTGTCACCCACTGTCCTAATAATATACTTTACTTAAAATGCTTTAAAAATTGCTAGATTAACAATAGTCACTTTTCTCCTCAGTTAAATATGTAGGTTGTCATTGACAGCACAGGTGCCTCCTTGGCGAATCTTGAATCACAGACTAATATTCAGACACATTAAACACATGTGGCAGCCCCTGGCACGGAATAAGCTATCTGCATCTTACTCAGACTAAACCTGAGTTCTGGAATGCCCAGTGGTTGTCAAGAAGCCACGGGGAGACACAAAAGACAAAAACCTGACTGCAACAACAAAACCCATCTCCAGACACACTGGAAAAGCCACGCTCCTGATAGGTTTATCTTTGTCTCACATTCTCTTTGTTAGTTCAGTCCATATGGACAATAAGCCGGGTCACCTTGGATGAGTCAGATAGTCTCTGAGCTCTGAGGGGCCTCACTTCTGGGCTGTCAGCAGTTATGCTCGCTGCACCCTTGAGGTTGTGATAATGGGTGATGCGAAGGCCATGTGACAGCGCCTGGCACAGACTATGTTCTCCGCCCAAAAGGTATCTGCCTTTTGCTCAAACTGAACCTGAGTTCTGGAGTTCCCAGTAGTTCTGAGTCAGCCATTGAAAGAAACACAGGTCCAGACACACCAAAAACAAAACAAAAACAAACAACAACCACAACAAAAAAACAGGCTTGTCTCAATTCTCTTGTTGGTTCAGTCTCAAGCTCCTCACTGCCCAATAGTCCTCTCTGAGAAGAACCTTCAAGAGCTGAAGTCCTTTATGACAAATGAAGATGCCAGGGAAACAGGGTTGAGATCAAAGAGCCCACTCTGCTTCTCCCCCTGTCTGTGCAGGGGTTCAACAAAGGAGCCCTCTGGCTGCACCTCTCTCCTATGGAATGCCCTTGGCATTTCCCAGGCCACAGGAATGAAGAACAACCCATAGCTTGAACATGAGTAGCTTAGAGAGGAAAGTGTTGGGTACCATTGTTTCTCTCTTCACTGGTTTTATTTTTCAATCAGATGAAATATATTTTTGTGCTACAATGTAAGCTTCAACAAAAGCTTTAAAAGTAGTAGTAGTAGTAGTAGTAGTAATATAGTAATAGTAGTAGTAATATAGTAGTAGCAGTAACAGTAGTTGCATTTCTTTCCAGGAATAGAGGTACCTCTGTCAGTAAAGTGCTTCATACACAACGGTGCAGTCTTGACTTCAACACCCAGTGCCCTCATAAAAGAAGCTGAGCATGGCAGCTTGTACCTGTAATCCAAGCATTGTGGAGACAGCAATAGGAAAATCATTGTATCTAGCTGGCCAAGCAAGCTGGGTCAGGGAGTTTCAGGTTCCATGAGAGACCTTGTCTCAAAGATAAATGTGGAGAGTGACTGAAGGACATATCAGATGTCAGGGTCTTCTATGCACGTGTGTCAGCCTGTACATGTGTCTATTCACATATATAGCATGTACACACACAAATACAAACATATACATAAGCACACACATACATACTCACACACAAATACAAGCATATACACATAAACACACACACATACTCAAACACACACACAAAAATGCAGGCACATGCACACACACATACAGGCACATGCACACACACATATACACACATACACATACATATACACACAGGAATATACACCCACACTCCTTTGTCACCCTGAATTGCAAAATTGCATTAACAAGTTTAAAAAACTATTACATATTGACTGCATTTTACATATGCATGTATACATAACCTTTTTTCATATATCCAGTGTTAAGGTTTCCAAGTCGATCACCCCAGAGAACCTTTTAGATTAATTGTCCCATATATGCTTAGGGATGCACACTGATGAGTTCTCAGCCTTCTTCATTTTTCTCCCTCACAGGAGAGAATAATAGAGCGCTTGAAGGAGCAAAGGGAGAGAGATGACCGGGAAAGACTAGAAGAGATAGAATCCTTTCGAAAGGAGAACAAAGACCTCAAAGAAAAGGTCAATGCTTTACAGGCTGAGCTCACGGAGAAAGAGGTGAGTCTGGGAAAACAAATGTCCCACATCCACAGCCTTCTAAACCATGCTTGTTGAAGTTGATCTCATGGATGGTCTTAGGGAGCTGCAGGTCAGTGTGAAGACTTGGGGACCATGATGACCTTTCTCTCAGAAGCCTGCCTCAGGTCCAAAGAAAACAGTCCAGTGTCTCCCTTCATCAAAGATGCCGTTGGGCATCTTGGCCACTCAGCAGTGTGGCCTCGGCCTCTGGAAGCATTTTTCTTGTGTTTTACCTTACTAACTACACTTGTATGGCTCAGAGAAGGTTTGGTTTTTTTCCCCAGTCCTATTAGCTTTTGCTTGAATATCAGTTAGTGTAATAACAACAGCAACAACAATAATAGTAACTCCACTTCACTTACTAACACTCTGGGAGATATTTTGCATTCATCTACAATTCTCAAATGAGTCACCCAGTATTGCCTGGTTAGAAAACATGACAGTGAAGACAAATTTCTAGGCTAACTGTAGCTACTCCTCTGGAGTCTTATTTTTGGGGGTTACAGTAAATTATTTAAAGCCATTTCACACTGTAGCAAGGATGAATAAAGAATATAAGTACCACCTGTGGTTTTTTCTTTATAGTAAGACGACATATTTTTAAGGAAATTTCCTGCTTTGGGGATTCTGGAGCAGCTGTTTGGGGCTGCAGCCGCCATGCTCCTGAAGATGCCCACAGCATATCCATTGTTCTTGAGGATAGTTTGGTGGAGACATGACTGAAGCAGTGGTGTAACTTATTCCCCTAGTGTCATTATCTCCAGCTGTCCCCGCCGCAGTGGTTGCTGTCTGCCAGAAGTGTTCCTAAGTCTCTGCAGGATGGCTGAAGCCCTGTGGCATGCCGGGGCATCCTAACCCGTGCCTACCTCTCTCATCTTTCCACGGTTACCCCTTCCCCCGTGTGTTGATAACTGTACACAAATTACAGTCCTGCCTAAATAGAGGCTTGGCAGCCAGAAGACAGTCTCTTATCCCTAAAATTGATGCTTCCTAGGTTTCCAGAAAGGAGATTGTTTCCTTGACACGGCAATAAAGAATTTAATTCTGCTTCTTGTCGCATTGCACGGCCAGCTCTGACGGGGTAGATCTGTCATTTGCGGGCAATGGAGCACACTAGCCTTACTCTCATTTATAACACGCTCTGCCGTTCGGATGTGGAAGTGTCTTGGGATCCACGTGGTCCCTGCTAGCGGCAGAGAGACCTGGGTGAGGTGGCAGAGAATGCCCTTGGCATTGCCACTTGGCAAGAAATGTCCTGTCACAAAACAGGCCCAGAGTAGCCGATTTAACTAAATTGAGGGACTCACCGAAAAGAAATGGTTTCTCCTCCAAGGAGGCTGGGCAAGCCCAACACACACAATGAGACTGCCTGGAAGAGCAGACAGAAGCCTCTCAGGCAAGCTGCTGCTGAAATCCGCATGGGAACGGAAGGGAAGGGACTCTCTTCCCCCACGAGTTTTGCTCCTCAGACCCCCTTTTTTTTTTCAAAGGGTGGATCAAGCCCACCCAGAGTACAGAGGATAATCTTCTTAAAACTTAAAATCAGCTGATTATAGGTGTTAGTCGTGTCTGAAAATGTCTTCACAACACCTAGATTAATAAGCAGGCACTACACTGTAGCCAAAATAAAGCTGGCCACCACAACTGGCAATTTACAATTCAAAACAGAACAGCGTGGAATTGCAGCTTGCAGGGAACTTACCGTTTGCTTTGGGTGATGATATGTCTTCACTGTGACAAAATGACTGGATTATAAGGCCCTTTACTTTTTCCCGTGGAAGTGAAACCAGAGTTGTAGACCTGAGTTTGATAGCTGAGTCTGCCTTTAATGGCTAAGGGACCTTGGGCAAGACTAACAGTGAATGTGAGCTTCAGGTTGCTGCTGTCTTGGAAAAAAAAATGAGCATGCCTCACCTGGCCTTCAATACATGTGTGGGAGCTTTCTGCTGGGTCACGATGACCACCGCCGTTACAGACAGTCAGTGTTCAGGACACAGTCTCATATAGCATCAGGCAGTGGCGTTTGCTGGGAGAACGCCATGTGTTTCCTGTCTCCCTTAATGCTGCGATGTTGATGGAAAAGTAACATATCTTATTCAGTAGTAGGGGTTGTTAGCTGTTTCATATTTCATAATGAACATTGCCCCTACAGATAGTAAAAAATATGTTCAGAGATGTGTTCTAATATTTATTTCTCTAGATTTTGGAATTCAAACTATACAGGGAAGGTCTAGGATTCTGGACATGTTGGTAATTAAGCAATATTGGCAGCCCATATCCAGGTAGGAGACTAACCATGTTTATTGAATCTGTAACACAAAAGATTTGAACTCAGAGTCCACTTTCTCCTAAAATTACAAATACCTCTGTCTTTGACTTGCTAGAAGATGTTTGAAAAATTAGCCATGTGTTTCTGTTAAAGAAAGGGAATTTGATAAAATGCAATAGGATGTTTTACATTTATTTGATTTACCCTGGGGAACGAAGCATCAGAGTCAGTATTTTCTTTCATATCTGTCTCAGAGTCTGTGCAGCTGAGTTAGAATAAATACAAATGGAGAGCTCAGGGTGTCTGTTTGCAGAGGTGATGCTAAAAGATCATCATCTGAGATGTGAAAACTACATTTATCAACCACACCATTTACTTACATTTGACTCTACTGCAAAGAGATCCTTTTCTGTCTTGTAAGTGGGTCAACATGCATTTCCTGGCTAGAGTCCAGTACTACCACCTTAGTAAAGCTTACCCTTCCTGTGAATGCCTTCTTCATGGCTCTGTGAGAAATCAGTGAATGTGTATTGATGCTCCTGCTAGCAGAAGTTGTGATATGTTTCTTACCACCATTCTCCTCCTTTCAGTCTAGTTTAATCGACCTCAAAGAACATGCATCTTCATTAGCTTCTGCAGGCCTGAAGAGGGACTCCAAGTTAAAATCCCTAGAAATAGCCATCGAACAGAAGAAGGAGGAATGTAACAAACTGGAAGCCCAGTTGAAAAAGGTAAGGGAAGCCTAAGCACAGACAGGCTCATTGCAGAACGGACTTATAAAGTGGTTGAGGTAAAGGCCTTTTTCAAAATAAACAGGCTCCTTTATCAGTTGTTATCTCCTGATGAAAGAATTAGTTAAACGCTCAAGGACATTCCCAAGAAGTCTGCATCAAATCTGTCTGTAGATCTGAAGACCTATCTTGTTTCCTCTCAAAAGAAAACTTGAAAAAGAGAAAATAGCAGAAATTAAAAGAATAAAAAGTAGCCATTACTCTTTGGGAAAAATCTAAACGGTCTGAAAATGTGAATGAGGATGTTTTCAACCAAGGAAAGAATCCAGAGATCTCTTTATATTTTGATAAGCTTTAACAACTTCGCAAAGTAGATCAGTTTTTGTAACACAACTTGACACGAATGTTCCTGGCAACAGTCAGTTTCTAGAAATTCACTAAAGTAGTCAAGCCCCTGCAGTCAATCATCTGTAGAATGATGATGTATATTGAATTAATAATGCTCTACTGTCTCTGAAAGCTTGTTATATCCAGAAGTCTTTGGAAAAGAAAGCAGGCTCTTTCCATTGTGGCATTCACTTGTTTTCTCCAGCCTGAACATTTTTGTGGAGTGTATTGGCAGTCATGCATTGTTCCTCTGACTCTTTCCCTATGTTGTTTGGTTTGTCTGCACTCATTGTTCATACAAAACTCATAATGTTATTAATTTAAGTCTTTTGTTCCCCTTGACAACTTATAAACTTAGTCAGAAGAGATAAGAATCTAAATATATAATAAACATATAATAAGACTTGATTGCGATTCATAGCACACTAGAATAGGGATTTATTAACTGTAGTTATGAAGACAGATGGCAATGGATGGCCAGAGATGTGAACAATGCCTGTATCTATACAAGAACTATTTTGAATGCTTAACATTTAAATACTCTATTTTCTATGAACTTATGTAGTATAAAACTGCAGTGTAGCTATTTTGTGCTGACTACACAGGGGTTTTAGAAAACCACCACGAGAAATTTCACAGTAAGAGAGTCTATTCGCTAAGACTCAGGAGGCATGTAGAACGGGGCTTAGAGATGGCTTCTGTGTAAATGGATTAGCTCCTATCCTCAGGACTCACGTAAAGAAAACCCAGGCATGGTGTACTGCAGTAACTCTATTCCTGGGAAGTAGAGACGAGTAATCTCTGGACTCTTTGGCCTCCCAATCTACTTGATTGGTGAGCTCCAGGTTAATAGGAAGACATTAAGTCAAAACATAAAAATTAAGGTGGAGGGACAGCTCAGGGAGACACCTGATGTTTACTTCTGGCCAACACATGTCTGTACAGGGGCATCTGTTCATGTACACATGCACACACCACACACGCCACACACAGGCACACACAGGCACATGGAAAGGTAAAGTTAAATGTACCCAGTAAATCTTTTTTAACTACCTGGCAAGAAAAGTTGAAACAGAAATCCACAGTTTAAGAGTTTTCTTTGTTACTCACTTACTTTAAGAAATATTCAGTTGGCCAGAAATCTGGACTAGCAAATGCAAGAGTTTAAATTGCCCACCTGACAGTATTTAGATGGAGACTAACTTTGCTATCCATGCATTTGATGTATGAGGTATTAATGTATTTATATTGTGCCCTGTAATACACTATACTCTTTGCATCACAAGAACGGCTTAGTGATGCTGATGCGTGCTGAAAACAACACGATAATGGGGGGGAATGGCCTCGGCACGTTCTTGCCTCACTTTTGCAGTGTGCTGAGCGGGAGAGGAACCTCAAACACACCCCTGCCATAGCCTGAAAAATACCCTCCACCAACTCTGCTGAGCTGTCGTGGAGGTGAAGGCTCTGCACAGAGGACTTCTACACACATGTGCTTAACATAGGCCCTTTGCTGGTATAGCTCAGCATTGGTACTGAAATCCTCTAGTAACGAAAGGAAGAGGGTCACGTGTTAGTGCTGTCATCTCCTTGTCTATGACTTGAGGTGTTTACTGGATCTACAGCTGTGCAGTTCAGCCTACTCTGTTTCAGCCCAGCTGTGGCTAGGCCAGCAGATCCCTGGCAGCATGCCTTTTCCTCAGACGCCCAGTCACTGCCATTGACTGAAATTCACAAACCAAGTCCTGTAACATCTTGTCATGGTATTTGATGACGTTTTAGTTTTTCTGTAATGTCACCAGCACTAAAGTGACACATATTGTTGTCTTGCTGTAAGGCAATTATTTAATCCATGAAAAGAGAACTTATTTCTAAGTATTTATGTAATTTTTTACACAGTACAGTGAACTTAAAAAGGTAATGATAATTTAAATATTTTATGCCTAACCTGCAGATGCTACATTGTTATATTTGGATCTCTAGTATTGAGTTGTGTTTAGGGTTAGAGTGGTATTTTTTCTTTTGGTAGTCTCTAATTTATGCTGATAGTTCCATTCAAGTACCCATCCCATTAAAACCTCAAGTACCCATCAGCTTAGAAAGAAATAAGTTCTACATGAAACTGTTGAAAACACAGGGCAACAGCATGTGAGTGTAAACACATCCTCTACTTAAGGAAAAACAAGCAACTCTAAAAGCCTAAAGGAGTGCCTTCAACTCTTCTTAAATGAAAAGATGCGTGACTTGTGAGTAAAATAGATTTACTAAATGAGAGCTGAAAATATAATTACTTTGTATCATAAATACATCATGGATTTTCCCAGTGGTATTTTGCTCAAGATTTGAGATGGCTCAGGTAGTTTTTTGCCCATAAAATCTGTGTAAGTGTATAAGCTAATAATGTTTAATTGAATAGAAACTTTGCCACTGACAATGGAATCCACATAGGGATTGAACTTATTCTATTAATAGTGCATGACTGAAGCAAGCTACTTCTTTACATAAAAATCTGTGAAGTTTGTATACATAGTCATTTTGACACTTTTTATATAGAGTTATGGTTCCTTCAAATATTTTAGGGTAAAAATGCTTCTGTACAGAAAAGGGATTCTGTTAATTCTATTTCAGACTCTTAGAAATGACAAGTGTACGTGTGTGAGGGAGTCCTACTGATTTTAGTGAGCTCACTAAACAGTGCTAACCAGGTAATGTATAGTTACTAGATGGATGTGTGCACAATAACGAGGTCTATCCACCAATGTTAGTATCCAGGGATGGAGAAGCACCTGACCGTTGATTTATGGATCACATCGTCTATGAATGATTTTTGGAGGCTCAGGCTGTAGAGGTTAATTGCTGTAGAGGTTAATTGACCTGTGTCTTGAGGAATTTGCTGAGAAGACGCAGAATCCAAAGTGCTATGACTTCTGTTCCCTTGTATTCTCTGATCAATGTCATGCCTCAGGAGACTTTTCCTAAAAGGCCTGTTAATGTAATCATTTGCTCTCCTCAAGTTGAAGAAACAGGTGTCCTGTCTCTAAAGGAGTCTCTCAGCCTAATACCAAATAATAGTTGTGGATGTATTTCACCCTCTAGACCTCAATCTTGAGCCTCAAATTAATGAGTAGATATTTAATAAATATAACTTGTGAACACTATTTACTAGTAATATTTAGGACATCTAACTGTGCATAAAATTGGCAGGAACACATTATAGATTCTAAAGCACTTGGAGCATAATAGGCGTTCTTTCAAAATCGAAACAGTAGAAATTGGCTAATGGGCAACACTGTCTTGTGGTTCCTTTCACTTTTTCTCCAGACTTGAATTTTCCTTTTCCCATTTAAATCAGTGTGGTGTTGCCCTGCTTACTGATATGTCCCTACTGTTAACTTCCTAACCTCTATTTAAGTTAGACACCAAATAGAAAGTTTAGGCTCATGGTACTCCCAAAGAATAGCTATAAATTCAATGATAAGATTTAATTGATCTTTTATTATTATCATCTTTGAAGTTGAGGTAATAAATTGTGGGCTTGGCCCAAGGTACTTCTTGTGATTCATTGCTGGAGGCCAGCACTTCATGTATCATCCAAAGTGGACAGTTTTCTTGATTTCATGGGCATTTAACTCAAGAAAGGGAAAGGAACACAAACCTTAAATTTCTTATTCCAGCTATTCTTTTCAAGGAGCCAAAGTCAACACTTGTATTTCCCCCAGAACCCGTCACTTTCACTGTGGAATGTTTAGAAACTGAAATCTCTTCTTTCTGAAGAGCAGCACGCATGTGTGAGCGCTGGGTACTCTCAGCGCGCATGTGTGAGCACTGGGTTTGCTGAGCTAACGCTGTTTCTCCGGGTCTCTCCTTCTTTCCCTCTGTGCCGCAACGCCTCCCCGCCTTTGCAATGTAGCAAGCCGAGCAGTTGTTCAATCAGATGTACAACCCAGTAAGTCATCTCTGAACGTTCCCGCTGTAACATATCAAAGCATGAGGATCCACTGAGCCCACGTGACATTGTGCCACGCTTGGGGATGTTTCCAAAATGCTAATCAGTCTCTTCCCGCTTCCCCTCTGGCAAGAGAAACGATCTGCACAAAGACAATGCCGTCTCTTTCAAAACTTAAAAATTGAGAGGTCAAGGAGATGTGGTCATCTCTTACATTACCTTCTTCCTAACTTCAGCTCTCAGGCTACAAAAATAAAACAAATCAGCTGAGGATGTAGGCTTATAGAATTGTTGGGGAGATCCTTCAAACGCAGGCTTCTATGGGTCACAAGGATAGCATTTGCAGAATAGGCAGCGGCTCACTTATACGCTGTATCTATCAACTCCATGTTAAGCTGGCTTTTGCTTTAAAATCTGGGCTATGCTATTGGGGATTGATAAATACCTAACAAAAATGTAGCTTTTGTAAATGTTCAAAACATGTCATTGGCCCTAGGACAGATCATAGCATAAACTATTAGTAACAGATCACAAGATACCAATTCTGACTTTAGGTTAATGAAGTCTGAAAATCAGGTAACTAGTTCAAAATCAATAAAGTAGCTCAGATGTCACCACTAGTTTTTTATCCTAATGACATATACATGCATATGAAATATTTATTGTTTCTTTAGTTTATTTAGAAAGACAGACTTTTCTGTTTTGTCAGCAGACTGGCTTACTGGGAGGTATATTAAATGACTGTAACTAGGATGCTTCACTTGACAAGTGTGATCAACAATGCACTCTAATTACCTTCTATTTATAAATCCCCCATCACAGAAAAAAAGAAATGCCACGCATAAAGGAAGCAATTCGGTCGACACAGTTTTATTTGTTAAGCCGAGCTCCACCAGCTTACCTTGCAATGTGTAAGATGCCTGGATGTGTTCAGTAGACTCTGCCTGGACCCTTTATTTTACCCAACAGATGCATTTGCAAGCACAACCCTCATGCCCTGCTAGGGCATCCCCCAGGTAGATTTTTCGCAGAAGTAGTAATAGGTAGGCTCAAGGCAGTGGCGAGGTGAAGAAAGACATCCCCAAATCAGAATATCTTGAAGTTTGAGAACTCACCCTGATAAAATGCATGTTTTCTTGTGAATGTCTCTAGAACAAGACTGTAAAACATTTTTCTTTTCATAGTCTAAATTTGTAGTCCTTTGTGTGTATGAAACACAGGGGGATTGCTGTGTTCCACAGCAGGAGAAAATGACCAGGGCAGTAGCTAGAGTTCACTAGCCCTTCTCAGAGCAGGTAGGTTCAAAGAGGAAATGACTTAATTGACCATCCTCAACTTTCCCTTCTCTTCCTCCCATGGCCAGGCCTCTGCTATTCCAAAGACACTTTGCAGTCTTTCCAGTGACTAATTCAAAGCCTTAGACTGACATTCTTCTCCACGTTAATTAAACCAACCAAATGGTTTGGCATCCCGGGAATAAAGCCAGCTCTCCTTATTTTAGCTCCCCCTGTCTACAGATATTCTCAGGACCCAGTGCTTTCTTTCTTTCTTTTTTTGATAGGGATGCAGCTTGATGGGTTTTTCTACCCTTAATAGTCTTAAAAACTGCCTGAGTTTCTCCTAGTTATAAAAGTAATATATGGCCATGGTATTGAAAAAGTAAAGAAGGATATAGGAGAAGATAAAAAGAGCCAGAGTACAGCTCACTGCAGATGTAGCCAGGAGGGATGTGTGTGAGTGTGTGTGTGCGTGTGTGTGCGTGTGTGTGAGTGTGAGTGTGTGTGCGCGCATGTGTGCATGCGTGTGTGTGCGTGTGTGTGAGTGTGAGTGTGTGTGTGCGCATGTGTGCATGTGTGTGTGTGTGTGTGTGTTCCCTTGCTAGGCACGTGTGTGTGCAGGCCGCTACTCTTCTTTCTCTCTTCACTTTCTTCTTCTGCCCTCCTTCCCCTCCCTCCCACTTCCTCCCCTCCCTCCCTTCTCTCCCCCTCCCTCCCCTCCTTCCCCTCCCTCCTCCTCCCTCCCTTCCCTCCTTCTTTCTTCCCCTACTTCTTTTTTCTTACATTATGCTTTCTTTACACCAAGTTGTACCAAAATGTTTGTTCAGTTTTTATGTCTTATTTCCTTACAGTAAAACATTGGAATTCCCTCATGGTTTATACACTCTCTAGTCTGTTTATCACACTGATTTTGATCACACATATTCCTGTTTTCATCACTTCTACAAATAGAGCTGTGACAAATCCCCCACCACCCGTCTGTCCCTTCCATTTTCCCCTCCTCCACGTCTACCCTCCTCTCCCCTCCCTTCTCCCTCTCTTTCTCTCTCTCTTACATAGAATGAAATTCTGAACTATCTAAATAGTTCTTACTCAGTTGTACTTCAGAGAGGCTGATCCCACAGCTTTTTGACCATATCTTGGCCCCTACCACTGAGAATTGTCATTTTATATAACTTTAAAAATTCTTTAAATCATTTTTTCTCCTCTTTAATCACTAATGTGTTTTGGGTTTAAAAATACACTATTAGCTCAGTACTTTTTCTGTTAGAAATTCGTTCCTTTGGCCACTTAAGCTCTTATCCTTGATTTACTGGTTTGTTCATTGGTCCATGAGTTGTTTTCTGTTCTAAAAGCAGCTTTTTCCCATGTTGTTGACAATTTTATTTAATTTTTAATAAAGAGATAATTGTTTCGGGGCTTTTGGCCAAAAGGATTTTTTAGAATTAGTCTTTAAAGTCGTTCTCTGATTTTACTCACGTGTATTAAATTTTTTCAATGCGGTTTTCCATATCAATACAACTCTCACCATCTGCGTTTTGATTAATACTGAGAGGTGAACTATATTTTTAAAATCATCACTAGGTTTCATTGCTCTTCAAGTGTCCCCTGACCTTGATGATGGCACTGTTTTGTGTATTACTTTCTTGTAGGGACAAAGGTCCCAGCGCCTGAGCAACAGTTCAGCTTCAGCCCGGTCCCTTGGATCAGAATCTTAGCTCTTGTGGCTTTGTGACATTTACACACCTAGTGGGGCACATCCCAGACTGATTCTCCCTGTTTTCTTCTGTCTTTTTTGGGAGTTCCTGCCCCCCCTTTTTTTTTGGTTTCTCGAGGCAGGGTTTGTCTGAATTGTTTTGGAGGCTGTCCTGGAACTCGCTCTATAGACCAGGCCGGCCTCGAACTCACAGAGATCTACCTGCCTCTGTCTCCCGAGTGCTGGTATTAAAGGTGTGTGCCACCAACGCCCAGCTGAGTTCCTGGTTTTTTACTTTTAACCTTCCAGGGTTCACTTTTGTCAATTAAAAATCAAGGTTGCTGGTGATTTTAATTTGAGTTATATTCATCCTATATGATAATTTTAAAAGCCAATGATACATTTCTATTATCATTCCTTACCATTCATAAACATGATCCAACTTTTTTTAGTGGTTTTCTACAGTAAAGTTTTGACATGTTTCTATGACAGGCCTGGGGTATTAACTTTACAAGCTATTGTGAAGCATATGCACATATATAATTTTTAAGCTGTTACAGCAACCAATACATTTCTCCTTTTATTTTCTAACCAGTTTTTGATATTCGGGAAGTTTTTGCTCTTGTGTGTTTATTTTGAATATGGCCACCTTCACAATTCTGGTGAATTTACTATAGTCATTTTGAATGCACAAGAGTGTTCTACATAAGCCAGGTGTAGTGTAGCATGCCTTTAATCCTAGCACTTGGGAGGCAGAGGCAGGAGAGTATCTGTGAATTCGAGGCCAGCATGCTCTACAAAGCAGGTTCCAGGATGGCCAGAGCTATGCAGAGAAACCCTGTCTTGAAAACCAGAAAAATCACATGCTATAGTTAGTACAATGTCCATGTGTCTGCACTCAGAGTAAATAAGGATTGGGCTTTGAAGTCTTGCTGCAAGTACGTTTTGAAATACAAATAAAACGTTAGCTTTCTTTTCTTTTACGTAGCTGCTCCATTCTGATATTAATGTGCTAATGTCCCTTCATAGGAGCTAAACTTTTCCCTTTGAATTCTTACTCCTTCTCCTAATAAGAACCTTTCTTCACGTAGCTGCCAGCCTCTGATCCTGGAGGACTTTTGTCCTGTCATGGTAATATATGCCCATTAACTTCAGCTTAATTTTTTTCTTCTTGGTTTTCAAATTCTAGACAACAAATAGTTTTTCTCATTGGTTCCAAGTGCTGTCTTGGTTATAGCCCTAGTGCCATTGGAGATGGAGTCCAAAAGTCTTTCATATATCATAAAAGAATCTTTAGCCTTTCTGGGCACATTGAGTGCTTTGTATAATACCACATTGCTATAGGGTACTGAGGCCATCTTGTCACTGGCAGGATTGCACTTGAAACCCCTCTGATTTGCTCCCACGAGATCCCCCTAGCCAGTCACTATCCATTCAAGATCCTCTCTGGTAAACACACTTTGTACAGGACTCACATTTTATATAAAGACTTACAAAATGAACACGCAAACAAACAAACAATGCAACAGCAACAAAACTCAGACATTCGTACATTGTACAGAGAGAAAAACACCTCCTTCATGTTTAGGGAGACTCTCCTGTGCATTATGGCCTTTCAGGACTATGCGTTCCTAGGGACATGGTGTGTCGAGTATAAATGTCTCCATGGCCATTGTTGAGTTGTAGCAATTTCCCTCTTTAAAGTCTATTTCTGAAAACTATTTGATTCATTCATAAACTAATATTTTATGCCATGGTAGAAAACTACAACTATTTATAACTAATATATAATTCAGGGAATATAGGTGGAACTTGCAGACACATGCATGTACACAAACACGTATCCAACAGATAATGCAGTCTTCCAGTATCAAAAGAACTCAAATAATAGCCCAAATGACATACTTTAAGTTTGCATGTTTTATTTCAGACTGTCTAGATGATACCTTTAGTTTTCAATGTTGCTAATTTCCAGAAATCCATATTTAAGAGGAATTATATTAATAATTGCATTTTTATTTTCTAAGTCTTAAAATGTATTAAGTATATAGTTTTTTATTTTTGTGTGTATTTTGAGTGTTTGGTTTTATTTATATGTATCACATTTGTTTCATCTGTGGAAAGAAATCTTTGATATAGTTCTAATATGATTACAAATGTTCTAAATTTAGTTAGATTGAATTTTAAAAGGAATAATTTCCTTTAGAATGACAAAACACAAGATCCCAAGATATATCATTATTACTTTCAAAGTATGTTACTTAGGGCCAATAATTATGTCTGGTATTTACTCATTTTTATTTTAAAAATTTTATGTTTTATATGTCATAGCTCTGTAAAACTTAATGAGTCTATTTTGTTCATAATCTGGATTTATGTCAATGTCTAGAATAATTTATACCTCATCCTGATATTAAGATATGAAAGGAATGTTGAAAACACTGTCTGTGGACACTGAGATTGCAGAGTGCTGTAACTGAGAATCATATTTTCGCAGAGCATAAATTTAGCAAATTACTGCTGAAGTCTAGAAGCAGCAGGGAAGAAAAATCAACAGCTTCATTACCTAATAGTTGGCTTCTCCTTTATGGTTACAACTAATCATTGTTTTTGAGGGAAATAATTTTTATTAAAAATTGTTAAGGCCCATTCCAAAGGAAGTGTTATTTAATATTATAAGTGAATGTCCCCTGCCATGTGTCACAGCAGGGTTCTGGACTGAAGTTAATACTTTCCTTTTTAGACATCTGGAATTATGAACCAGTACCTTACTGAAAATAATCAGTGTTCATTTATAAGAAGTGCAAATAAGCTTGAGGTGTGTGAATATGACACTTGCCAGCTCCCAACTTTGGGGCTAAGCACACTTTCCCTACATTGAGATACATCGGTCAGCTAAAATCCTGCTTAGTTCCCTATACAGTACAGAACTCTGGTAACTTTCATTATGATAACTGCTAGTGTCATGCTCATCCCCAGACATGACGAGCTGCCCCTTGTACGTTATCCAGGCTTTCAAAGTCAGTTTTTCTCAAAATACTGTGGGTTTCCACTTTTGTTGCTATTATTATTTGTTGGGGAATTTCTATATATTTGGAAGTACAAGAGACATAGTATAGAGATCCCCAAACTTATAGGACTTTCTGTCATGCTCTTCACCAATTTTCTGTTTTTCTACAGTACACTTGAGAGTTGTTCCAAGGATTCAAGAAACATTTTGAGACAGAACTTGATACTCAGATTGGCCTTTAATGACCTCAAAAGTTAAATATCTATGTTAACAAATGAATGAATATTTAGTAACCAGAGAAATGTTCTTATGACAGTAATCTTGGCCATATTCATGATAGGCGAATTCTGAAAAATATAACATCAGTCTGTATTTTCAAGAATTGGATTCCTGATTCCTTAAGGTAGAAACAAAATAATGCGCCTTAAAGAAGGGAACGGACCAGTTCTCAGCTGGACAAGCTCTGGTTGAGCCATCAGGTCCTTAAGAGGAAATAATTGCTGTCCATTTTCACTTAAGTATTCAATGCAGAAGAATGATAGCATGGCAGTAATTTGTTACAATGGTGCTGTATGGAAATGTAAATCCATTTGTCTTCTGCCTGCAATATCTAAGCTATATTAGGCTACGTCTGTTACCCACTTTGAACCGGGTCAGGAGGTGCTAGTGCAAATGCGGCAACTTTTGTCATAGTTTGAAAAAGCAACAATCTACCTATCTCTCCATTTTTAGAGGTGGTTCTCACCTTAGACCGTTGAAAAAAGAATTAGCGCTATAAACCCTGTTTTGTCTCACAGCTTTTGGTGTTTAGCATTGGCCCCATGGCTGTGGGTCAGTACAGCACATTCATTTCTACTGACTGAAAGGCGCAGCCCGTACTCTAAAGTCGCAGTTCGTGTTGAGTAGAACTACTTGACTCTAATAACTCCTAGGAATTTTATGCAGACTTTTGCCTTTTGTACTTAGACTCGACTGGGGACTCCCAGAACTTTCTGCTGTCATTGTCATTGCATGAAACCTGAGAAATGATCCAAGAAAGAGCTTCACCATGTCCTTATATGAGTCTTTCTTAAGGCCCTCTATGTATGTGAGCATTTTATAATGGCATCTATTTTCCACGTCTACCAAAAAGCCCTTCCCAGAATTCTTTAGAATCAAAGGTAGTCTGGCATAAATTCTTTTTCCTGAAATCAGTAGTCTGTGTTAGAGATAGAGAGAAATGGATTTTAAATGTTGGTAATAATGAAACTGCATAGCCACTTTAAAAGGAAGGATTATTAGCATTTCCAAGTTTTACCCAATAGACTTAAGCCAGCTATGAGCTTGCCACTAGGTTTTAATAACGTGACCTACCTTCAGCATTACATGAAGTCATCAGTGGTAATTTCAAGATTCAGGGTTGTTGTTGTTTTTTTTCCTAGATTTCTGTTTGTCTACACATCCCATGAGTCCTTTCTCCATATTCACATATCTGGTTGAAAAGAGTATAAACTTATTCAGTTTCACCCACTGTTAAAGACTGGTCTTTGGAAGTATCATCTTAGAATCAAACAAAGGACATGGAAACCTACCAGGGACAGACTCCATATTCTTCCTAAACCTACCAGAGAGGCTTCTCTAATGAGTGTGTCGATGAAAATTGGACAAACCTATTTAACTAGTTTGCAACAAGTCTTATACCTGAGGTTATTACAAAATAATAATCATAATAGAACATGAATATTATCTTCTAGATGTTTGTCATTTTGTAGTTTTTCACTGTCTTTAGAAAGTATGTGTTATTTGCCTCCTGACAATAGGACATAGGGCAAATGAGACTTAAAACTGATGTCTTATGGCTACTAATCCTTTATCTGCTCATTAAAATAATAATAATCCCAGTAATTTGAAATAAAACAATATGGACTATCATACATAACTGGGAAGTCAGTCTAACAATGGAAATTGATAAATAAAATAATTTTAGCTATTTAAAAATGATGTTTTTCTGCCACCAAAGTATTTGAATTAATTTTTATTACAGTTAGAAGTAAGAATATAGTTAGTTCATTTAAAGCTGAAATTATCTTCTCTAAATTATTAGAGTAGATGTTAAGCTATTTAAATATTAATTACCTTGCATAAAATATAATTATTACAAGAGCAAACTCCTAAAAACACATTAATTCATGTTTCTTTTTTACTAATATTTAAAAAGTACAATAATCTGTTATAAAGAGGCCCAGAATGCACACTAAAGAAGAATAAAATGCTTTTGAGGTGTGTTGTGAAAGGGAGTCAACAGCTTTTAATAGTATGTTGGATTGATGGATTTTTTGCAAGTTCTTTTTCATAACTGAGTTTTTTTCCTAAGGAAATCTTAAAGAACATGAAAAATTATTTCCCCTTTATCCTCATGCTTAAATAATATGTTACATGCAAAAATATTATTTAAAACGATTTTGTCATGAGTAAGAAATTTATTTTATTTATACTAATTTTTGGATTTTTTTTACTAAATCATTGCAAAGACTGTCAACCGTCTAACAGTAGTTATTAGTATCGATTTTTCTAACCATGCATGATCCATTTACCTCCACAGTAGCTATAGCTTGCTTGCCTCGTTTTTTCCCTGAATTAAAAAAAAAGACTAAGTATAAAAGCACAGTGCACAGATGCTCGACACAGCTGCAAAGCAGAACAACTTAGTTTTATCAGTTGATGTTTTATTACTCCACACATGGATTTTCTTTTGGAGAGCCATACGTGTCTGACTCCTCCGAACTTTCTACGTTGAACATGCGCCATTGTTAAACCACTTGTTTTCTCCCTGCTCGCTCTTTGGTGAAGCCAATTAGGAATAAAGGGAAACAAGGGGTAGGCAAAACATTGCAGTGCAGTGTTCCTTCATCTGTCTGGGAATATTTCAGCCAAAAGTTTATTTTGGGAAAAAATAAACTGCAGTGCATCCACACCCACACATCCACATGTACCCAAGACTGCAAATACTTTGGCTGCAAATGATTCTCCAGCGATGTTGCTTGTTCTTGACTGTGTCTGCTCCGGTGTGCACAGCTGCTACCCACTCATGCATGTGTTTGCAGAGTCTTGTCTGTGTGCTTGCTCACGATCTAGTTCTTGTCTTCTCGTGGTTTAGGTTAAACCTACTCAAGTACAGAAGAATTTATGGGTATGACTGTTAGCTGGAAGGCCCCTCCTTACTTCAAGGAGTCTTCATTTCAAACTACTTCTGCTGGTATTTCTTAGTAGGGTGATACACTCAGTACTCAGTCAACCAGTCTCCTAAATGCTACCTGGTTCTACATAGGCCCTTCCTGGGCCTTGGTAACAATTTACCTCTCTGCCTTTCAATTCTCTTGAGTTGGAAATGGAAGCGTTTGATGTAAATTACCTTGTGAGGAACAAAGACAGCAGTCTCTTCCTTCACCTGTTCCCCACATTTTAGTGGAAAGGAAAAGTCAACAGTAGCAAAATTTAACATAACAAAAATCAGTAGTAGAAGAACCTCCTTACGGAAAACAGTCATATGCTTTAAAGTCAACATTACCTAAGGTAGCTGAGATGCGTGATATTTTTTTTACTCCAGCTTGCCTTCTCACTGACAGAATGCCCATAATTCTTGTTTGTTATTTTCCTCTCCAAAGTAACTTTCTGGGCCATTGGTGACTACACTGTCTGTTGTTCTCAACCGTTGTCTTAACTGCATTCTTTAAAAATGTAATGTTGAAGGCGCATACTATTGAAGATGACTCCAGGATGAACCCTGAGTTTGCAGACCGACTGAAACAGCTTGACAAGGAAGCGTCTTACTATCGCGACGAGTGTGGCAAGGCCCAAGCAGAGGTGGACAGGCTGCTGGAGATCCTCAAGGAGGTGGAGAACGAAAAGAATGACAAAGACAAGAGGATCGCGGAACTTGAGAGGTACGCCCTGCATCCTGAGAGTTGTCAAAGGCGAGCCAGTTCCGATGGCTCGGTGCACATTCTGAGTTGTGGTGCAGCTGAAATGCACACTTGTGCACTCATACCATGAATTGGAAGGAAGTTGGGCGTGAGGAGCATGGCCTGACATGTGAGGGTTGATGTTGTGTCTCTGTGGGATACTACAGAAGCACCTGGGTTATCTTCTGAGGGGCTGAGGACCTCTCCAGTGTCTAGGAAAACGATGCCTGGCTTTCCTGGGGGTCATCTCTGATCCAATACTTGTGCCAACAAAATTTGCAAAAATTGGGCTTTGGCTATCTAAAACCTTAGTTCTTTCCCATTAAAGATGAACATTTGTGGTTTTGGCTGGAATATCTTCATTCAAGATAAGAGGAAGGGGGCCTCGTGTCTTTTTGGATGTCTGTTGGCACACCAAAACAAATGCTTCCTAGAAATTTGTCTTTTAAGAGGATCTCAGACTATTTGGAAAAATAAATGGAATTAAATATGCTTGAGTAGGGTCCACATGATCAAAAATTCGGTGTAAAACAATGGGTCTAAAACAGGCTTCCGGTGTCTTTAGACTCTGAGACAAGCCATGCCTGGATTATGTTAATGAGTAGCCTGGTCACTAAAGATAAGCTTATTGCTAATGCTCTTTCCTATACTTCTGTATGAAAGGACTTTCTCAAAACTCTGGCATAGCTCTTTATAACTGCTGAGGCCTTCTCATTGGTTCTGCAATAAAGTGGAATTTGTTTTCCCAGATTCAGTCCATATGGAAGAGATCAGCCAATTTTGAATAAATCAGTGAATGTTTGCCAGGTTGGACGGAGACACTTGTGAGGCACTAAAGGGCTTCACGATGTACAGAGTAATCTCTCTGGCCTCACGAGAATGATAATGGGCTTTGGCTGAAGAAGGACGTGGGTTCAGATTTTGCATCTGCTGTGTGACAGCACTGTGGCCATGAATCCCGTGAAAGCTGAATCTCTACAACGTATTAAAATGTATTCTGTTTTGTTTCCACCCAGTTTTCATATTAAGGTGGGACACTAACATCATTATAAAGAGCAGAATGCCAAAACAAATGAATCCTCAGCGATGGCATTGAATGGGCAGATTATCCACAGAAGAATTTCAGCGAGGTTTTCAATATTCTATTTGATTATCCAAACACCAAATTTATGAATAGTTCTTTTAATAATCTTAGTCGTTTTGTTGATGCTGTAATTAAGTTTGATTCTGTGTGACTAATTTTAGCACTTAAGGCAGAGTTCTTTTTTAATGAAGTAACTGTGCAAATTAAAATCTACAAGGGCAGGCTGGCAAGATGGCTTAGTAGATAAAGGTGTTGGCCACTAAGCCCAGGTTGGATTTCTGGAACCCACTTAAGGAAAGGAGGGAGCCTTAATCCACTGATCTTCAAACACATGCCCCGGCACATACATCTCTTCCCCCATACACATGAACACATGCATGCAAAAGAAAAATTTAAAGCATAATAAAAATTAAAAAAGAAATCTCCAAGGGCTTCATTTTAATCTTAAAATGTGGGAATGTTCTGCCAGTCTGCTCTTTCTTAAATATCTTGGACCACGGTTAATTTTGATATATCTATCTACATGGATATTTTGGACTACATTTCAGGATCAGTTTTTGTGAAGAAGAAAAAAAAACTAGTATGGGATGACAAAGAGTTTATGACCATGCCTTCTTGTTACAAAACTAGACGTTGAAAAATTGAATGGCCTTCTGGTCACTAACCCGTGGTCAGACGAGCAGCTACAGTGTTGGCTTGCGAACTTGTAGTCTCCTTCTCTGAGAAGCAGTGTTCTCAACGGACATTGTCGTAGACAACAACACCAGCATTACAGTAACAGCAATTATAATCATAGTCATAAAGTCTACATATTTCATGGTCACTGTGTGCCGGACACTCTGCTGAGCATTTAACCTGGAGTATCATATTTGACTTAATCTTACCCATAGAAACTATCATGGACCCTATTTTACACACGAGGAAGCATGAGTTAGACAAGTTCAGCAACTTCCCCAAAGTTACAGAGCTCAGAAGAATCACAGTTAGAATTCAAGCCTAGGAGCCACTGAGAAAGATGCCTTCCGCCAAGGTGCAACACAGACAAACTGGCCCAGTAGCCCTGAAGTCACTCAGGGAGCCAGAGGGTCCTCCCTGAGCGGGCCTTGCAGCCATGCGAGCTCCGCCTTTTCATTACTAGTTTCCACAAGAGGGAAAGTGATACACTATATGTTTAGAAGGCATTTTTTCCTACACTAAAGTAGTCCCTGAGAACTGTAATTGAAATTCAGGATCAGCTCCTATAAACATTTACATATAAATGGCTTAATTATCTAGTTGGACAAACAGGTCTTAGTTGGTCTGTGCAGCCATTAAATCATCAAGAATATTCACAGTTTTATTTCTTCAATATGGAAAGCATTAGAGCCGCAGTGATTTTACAGGCATTTATCTTTATGTACTTTCTGCACATTTTCTTTATCTCTGCGTTTGCCTCTCCTTAAAGCTGATGCCTCCCAGGCACTGTAATTCATAAAACATGTGCTAGGGCTTGACTCTGTCCCAGGTCTCTGCCTTCCTGCATCTTGGGTCCAGCAGCAGAACACAGTCTGGGAAATGTCTGAGCCCCAGCCCAACCTAGGCCCCTAAGGAGATTGGGGGTGGAGATCCAGAGGGAACTATCCTGGGAAAAACTGGGCCCAGCCTTGGCCTCTCTTTCTGAAGCATTATCTGCTGGGTTGCATGTGTATTCAGCCCACCAGAGCATCTTCCTCAACATTGTCAGGCAGTCCTCCTCACCTCAGCTAGTATCTCTGTTTGCTGGCTGAAACTACAGAATTCATACCTCATAATGTTGAGAGCTAAAGATTTTTAGCATTATGACATATATCTCCATTTTAGAGTCATGGAGAGTTCTTGCAATTAAGTTTGTGATTCTGAAAACCAAAATATCGAACTTGAAATGAATTTGTGGTCTCTGGCTTGTAACGTGACCTACCAGAGCAAAGAGCCCTCTTTTTTTTTTGAAGCAGCTCATGTTCTAAAATGTTCCAGAACGTCTGTCACTTGCAACAAAACAGTTGAGGTTAAGAATGACTCTGATGCCCTGACTGACACAGGCCAGCTTCTCTCCCAGAGGGCAGGGTTTTTTTTTCCCCCTTGTTCCGTTCATCTTTTCATTTTCGAAAGTTTCTCCACCATGGATATATTCCTGCACGGCATACAGCTGCAATTCCCAGTGACTTTGTCCTTCCAGTTCTACAAGAATGCTGTTTCTCATTAGCCCCTCTAGATTCAGCTTTCTAGGGTCCACGGTGTGGTACCTTAATGTGCATCTCCCGTGATGAACTCTCGCAGTGGATGCTGATGTTCTGGCTAGAAGCTTCTGCCTCAGTCATCCGCTGCTCTGGAGGTGTTGGCCATGGGGACAATGGCCTGGAGCAAACCTGAGAGTCAGTCAAAACCAGGCTGATGTCTTGGTTCTGTTATGGTGTCAGTGGTCATGTACACTGCACAACTGAGCAGCTGACCGAACCTTGGAGGTGTCAAAACACGTAGTTCCTCTGTGCTGCTCATCACAGTCCCCAGACTTGTTTAAGTCGTGGTTAATCCTTGGTGCCTCGCGAAGGAGGAGAGGTTAATCGAGTCTGTCAAGCGAGGCCTTCTGCCACCCATGGGAAGGAATCAGTTAGGTGACCTTTAGCATAACTACTTAAAATCTGGTAGGTCTTTCCCTGGTGTTTGTTCAGAGCTCAAATTGAGTCCTTAGCCACAACCCTCTAGACGATGGAAGGGAACCGGGGTCCCTGGAGGCCCCGCTCAAAAGACATAACATCAGAACGGAAGACAAGGTACCGCTTAATTATCTGGACTGAGGGTTAATGCCATCAGACATTTGGACAGTGAGAAATGATTTTTGGTGCCTAACAGAACCTTATCTAATGTTGAGAAAGAAGCTATTATTTTCCCTTCTGGTTTTCTCAATAATGTGCTGACACTCTAGTCCTTGATGCCTTTCAGGGCCCCTTTTGAAATGCAAACTTAAACTTTGTTATTATTTCTAGAGTATGATAGTATATTCTAAAAGCCTCACAGTACAGGGGAGAAATCTGGTAGTTCTAATTTTTTTCCTCTGAGTAATTTTGTTTTACTACTGCATTTGAACAAATGTTTTAAAATTATTTGGGGGGGCTTATTTGTTTTTATTTTGTGTGGGTGTGTGTGGGTGTTTTGCGTGTGTGTGTGTGTGTGTACCACATGCACATCTGGCACTCCAGGAGACCAGAAGAGGGCATCAGATCTCCTGAAACTGCAGTAACCAATGGTTGTGAGCCTCCATGTGGGTGCTGGGAATTGAATCCATGTCCTCTAGAAGGGCAGCCAGTGCTCTGAACCATGAGTCATCTCTCCAGCCCAAGGAATTTCTTTAAAACAAGCAGCAAGTGACTAAACTCCACATATTGCCTCTGTGAAAGGGCTTCCAAACTAGAGCCCTTTGGGGAAGGCCACTCCATCTTAAATATGGTTATGTAGTCTGGCTAAGGATTTTCTACTGCTTGGCCGAGGTCCTCAGCGTACTTACCTAGGATTCGGAAGGATTAGAAACAGCAGCTGGACTCTGTTGTCATAGTCCCCACGATGGCCATGACCTGACTTGTTTACATGGTCCATGTATGATCCTGAAACACCCAACCTGAGGATCTGGACTATGAAGCTTATTGAAGCAACACTCCCACCATGTGTACACGTTAAGATTTTCTCTCTGATTTTTATCATTGTAGTCTGTAGCACGCTTTCTCAGCCCCCAAATCATGACACGGAGATGTATTATTAATTATGAATGCTTGGCCTTGTCTTATGCCCATTCCACTGCTTCTTATAACTTGATTTAGCCTGTTTCTCATCACCCGTGTTTTGCCTAGGGACCTTTTTACCTTCCTTTTTTCCTGCTCCCTCAATGTCTGCCGACTGGCGGTTGCCTGGCGGGTCCCTGGTGCCTCCCTCTCTCTCTCCCTCATTCTCTCTTCTCCTGAGCCTAGGTCCTCCTCCTACTTACTCCTTCTGCCTGCTGGCCCCACCTATCCCTCTACTGCCTTGCTATTGGCCACTCAGATTTTTTATTAGACCAATCAGGTGCCTTAGGCAGGCAAGGAGAAACAAATGCAATACATCCTTACATAGTTAGACAAATGCAGCAAAAATACATGCAACACATCCCTGCCCAGTTAGACAAAGTCAGCACAAACAAATGCAGCCCACTTTTACATAGTTAAAGTAATATTCCACAGCATAGACAAATATAACACATCTTTACATAGCTGAAGTAATGCTCTACAACAGCAGTCAACACTGTTTTCATTTGAGATGCTCTAGGTTAGACTTTATCCTAAGGATTTGTTTTTCCTTCTTATGTGGCGGCTTTGTAACTACATCACAACACAGGTGGCAGGGATCCTGGGAGCAGATAGCTGGACAGGTGTTGCCTTGGTGTGTCCACAGTGGTTTCCGGAGGGCATTTTAAAGGTTAACAAAAAGAGCCTCTACTACATGCTCCTCTCACAGCGTGGAGATGATCATAGCTCTCCCCCCCTCAGCTTTCCTTCCCGTTGCTACGTTCTGACCGGTTAGAAGGCCACATTAGAAGTCTCATACAGATAAGTTAACAATGGCTGGGTATTCTAGTGGCAAACTCAGAACCTTGTTTTCTCAGTGGAAAGGAATTATTATTCTCTGCTTTGGAAGTTTTGTTGTCCCTGTGGGGAAGCTGATTGACAGGAGGCACCCCATCACCAGTCATCCTCACAGGGCCTTTGTGCACTGATAGGTACAGCCCTCTGTAAGCATTTGACAGAAATTTTTGAGCCAAAAATCCAAATTGCTCGGCTCCCTTGGGCTTCAGGAGTGAAGGAAAATGAGTCTTAGGATGTAACCACCCAAGGGCACTACTCAGATAAGGTTTTTTTGTGTGTGTGTGACATCACAGCTTACTGCTAAACCCCGGTGATTTCAGTTTTGTTTTAACCAAACAATGAAAACTCATGGGCACACAGGTGTGATTGCCTGTGTGTGTGTGTGAGAGAGAGAGAGAGAGAGAGAGAGAGAGAGAGAGAGAGAGAGAGAGAGAGAGAGAGAGAGAGAGAGAGAATGAGAGAGAGAGAGAGAGAGAGAGCGTGCGAGCAGATACGGGTTTCTTATGCACGATACACACTAGAACAGATTAATTATGGTGTGAGCCCAGGGCTTTGTGGCGGTTCTATCAGATAAAGGTTGCTTTATTGTCCTTCACTGGGTTGTACAACCTGCTAATGTACCATCTGTTGGCTGTATGTTTGAAACTAATGGCTCTCCTTCCTTTCATTCTCTTATGCTACCCTTTCCTTCCCGCTTGTCTCCAAATCGCTGCTCTCACCCTTGCTCCAATCAGCTTGACTCTCAGGTCAGTACTTTCAGTTTCCCTCTCCCTTGCATCCCTCCTGGGCTCAGCTCTCTGCCTGCGTTTGTTTAGGAAGAGAGATCATTGTAACATTTCTCCAAAACAGGCTGCATGATGGCACCATGTGGAGCTGGGGCAGTAAACAAGGCAAGAAGCTAAGGGCGGCTGGAGCAAGCGCCTCCCTGGCATCGCGGCTGGCCGGAACAGCTCAAACAAGCCAGTTGCACTCTGTGCTTAATAAATCACTGTCCTTTGAGAGCTCTATTAGGACTCCTTTGAAGTCCGTGGTGAAAACTACTGGTGTGTTAGTTACGTCCTGTAATACATTTTGCTTCTTGTCATTGTTTCAGTTTTGACTTGTTGGTTTCATTCTTGTTGACTGGACATTATACTTTAATTACCCAGGGCAAAGGATGTAAAAACAAGTGTAAAACTGGATTTGTTGTTGACTGTGCACCTGAAGATTAATAAGAAAAGTGGACATTGTGATTGAAAAAATCTCTCCCAGCTTTGGATTCTTCTACTTTTGGGGGTCCAAGTCAATAATTTTCTCTTTCTCAAGTCAAGGAATATTTTTTTCTTTTTAGTAACACACAGTAATTTAATGAGGTAAATAGTAAAATATTTAATCTAGCAATGATTTCTTTATCATTCAAATAATGATTTTAATACAGGATACTCATGGTATTATTTGGGGCTATGTAGACTTCAGAAATAAACAAACAAACAAACAAACAAACAAACAAAAGGAAATGAGAAGGCCAACCCTCAGTTTTTAGCTGGTATAGTCACTTTTGAGAGACAAGCTTTATCTAGTTTTTTCCCCTTACTGCAGGCTCTTCACTCCACTCTCTCCTGTCCCCTAAGCCACCAGCCCCTGTGCCTTTACACCAGCAGCAGAACCATCTCAAAACAAGGCCTCCTGCTCACATTGCGGTTTCAGCTCACCGCTGGTGGCTCTCAGACCCTGGACAGTCTCTGTGACTCTCAGATACCACACTGTGGTAGCCACAAGAGCTGCTGGGCTTCACCAAAACCGCCCAGAACTCTAGGGGGGTGAAAGCTTCCTTTCAGAGCACCAGTCAGACATATGGCAGTGTGCTCTCCCCACAGATCCAGTGGCTCCCCGTAGACCCTGGCACATACCCTGCGGTGGACCAGAGCAGCGTACCTGTGTGTGTGCAGAGTTACCAGTTTTACAATGGGAGGTGGGCAGGAGGCTCAGCCACTTGGCATGCACACCCAGCCTGTAGGGTTTGGATTCACTCGTTCAGTGGAGCTTTTCAGCGTTTCTCCCTGCCTGCCTGCCTTCCCCCCCCCCCATATTCCCTTTCTCCCCCAGCCACCCTTGATTGGTACCTTTAGATACCTTTGGGCCTCCTCTGCTCTCATGCCTCAGTCCCTTGCCTGGGCCTTCCATTTATCCACCCCCCCCCCTCTCATTTTGTATCAGTAACTGAGATGGTATACTTAGTTATTTTTCTCTTATTCATAGTGTATCCACATGGACTGCTATTTTCAGTATGGTACAAGGCTACAATTGACAGGAATTTGGAGTAACTAGTGAGTTTCTAGGTGAAAGGGCAGTGTGCGCTGATTTGCTTGGTCAAGTATACCTGCTAAATCTAGTAAATAAACTATACAGTCTAAATTATGGTTCAGATCATTCCAATACCATTTAACCCATTACTTCAAATGAATCTGAAGGATAAAATGGGCCATCACTGTGATGTCTTTTTGGTATAGGAAGAATTGGGTAGTCCTGAGCTTGTGAAAGAAAAAGTCTGTAGGGAGTTGGAAGCCTTTCTGAAGCTGTGGCAGCCTTTCAGAATTAACTATGTTCCTCCTGCCAAGGCTTGCAGGTTTACTAATCACAATAAAGCGAAATGTAACAATAGAATTGATTGCAGGATCTTTGGCCCATATGCTGTCTTTGTATGGCTCACCCTTGAGATGTGTGTGTGTGTGCAGGCATGCCTGCGTGAGTGCACACGCCTATGTGGATGTATATATACACACTCCATGCATTTTAGTCATATCAAGTCTGGTCTCTCTGAGCTTAGAAGTTCATGGTCTGCCATCCGTGTTTTCATGCGTGTTTCCACCTCTCAATCTGAAGTTTGAAAGGTTAGTAACACTGGAGCTTTTCTACGTGCTCTGGACTCCATGAGAAATTCTCCCCTCCAAAAGCATTCGCAGATGACCTCATTTCCTTTCTAAACTCCTGCACTTCAGCCCGGGTGGACATGTGTTAGATCTGGGTTTGGTGACGTGCGTATGACATGCTCTAACCCTGTCTGGGTCTCCACTCCAGTAGACGCATCTGTACAGATTCCCTTTGCACACAGAGCAGTGGGAAATGAGGGAGATTTAGTAGGACCCTCCTATTGTACTCAGGGACGGGTTTATGTGAGATTTGCTCATTTCTAGCATGTGACTTATGATAGATCAAGGTTATTGTGATAAATGCATGCAGGAATTGACTAAAAAAGAAACAATCCTGCAGGATGTGGTTCAAACTCCTGCCAAAGTATCAACCAAGTAAAGCCAGAAAGTTCTCCCAGCTTCCAGCTTCCTCTGGTTCCTTTCTTAACTATTTCCCTGTTCAGGGCCTTTGTGTCCCCTCACAGAGAGGAAGGAGTTGCTTTTGGAACAAACCGTATCGTCTCTGCCCGGCATATGGGCATCATGCGTTCTATGAACATGCTGGGTGTAATGGGCGTCATGCATCTGCTTGTGAATGGCTTGAGCTGATGGCTGGTGTCTGGCAGCAGGCCTAAGTCATTGTTGCGGTGTTGCTTCAAACATTTCTACCAAAATAAATTGTTTGTAATATTTCTCCCAACTGACCCCCATGATCTCTCAAGCTCTTGTTCTTCTATCAAAAAATGAAGTCAACCCCTCCCAGACCTCAGAGGCCTGATCCTCAAGACATGAGAAGAAATCCCTAGCTAATTCTTTTACTGTCCCACAATTTGTTGAGGTCAATTCCTTTTTCCATTGCCTCCTTAAAAGTATAGTGAGCATCTTCTGTGTTCTGGGCTGGGTCGTATGTGCTGGCATTTTACAGTATAGCAGATAGAAGTGACCTGATACTGAAGGATGGCATTTCTCCTCTTAGTGCTCATGATGCAGGTTGGTAAGTAGCATAGTAATATTAATAACAGAAATAGAAAAAAACAGGAATGGCAGCTACCGAGCCACAGATAACGGTCACCACATGCCAATGGGGAAACGATAACATTTGTTATAAACTTATTTTATTACTGCTCTTAAGGTTGGGAGTGTAATCTCTTCCGTGTTAGAAAAAGAAGAAACTAGAATTTATGAAACTTGAGTATTTGCCTATGTTAGTATAGCCAGTGAGTAAAGTGTCCATTTTCTCCCCCAGCATCTGTCCATCCTTTCTGACTTCCAAATGAGATCTTTCACTGCTCCAGCCAAAGCTACCTTTGTAAAAGTTCCAAGAAGTCCCTCAGTTAGGAAAGCTGGGCGGTTCTGTTCCATGTGCTGCTTACCAAACATAGCGTGTAGAGAGACTATCCCAGGAGCTTTGGGGGAGTGGCCCAGTGTGCTGCACAGCTGGCGCCTGCCTTCATGTGGACTTTGGGAGGGTCATCCTGGTCCTGCCACCCCGGCCCAGTAATGCATACCGACCTTCCAGTGTCCGCCCACGGGTTTCTCCTTCCGGTGGCCCTCACGTGAGCCCTCGGTGTTTTCTCCCGGACTACAGTGTTGTGTCCCACAGCAGAGCTGTTCTGGAATGCGTGCTCTCATAGGAAGCACCTTCTGTTAGTTTTCCTCTCCCTTTTTCTTGACCCTTCCTTTCATGCCCATGCATCCTCAGCTGACTGTGTTTGACAGCGTGTGCTGCACTAGACTGTAAACCCAAAGAAAAGAAATAATTGATTTTTCCCATCAAGCTAGACACTTGAAAATTTAACAAAAACAAAGAAAACAGACCAAATGGTGGTGGTGGATCTCTATTTAAGCTACTTACCTTCTCCCCCTCACTTCCTTGCTTCCTCTTTCCCCCTCCCTCCTTCCAGTGCGCCTTCTCCTCTTCCTATTTTGCTTCCTCCTGGACTACTCTTGGAGGCCCCTTTTGATGGGAATATGGCAACAAAGTACACTTGACCTCTCAGCACTTCCCATAAGGAAGGATTTGGTCCCCAGTTGGAAGGACTTATTCCAATGCTAATGACGGGGAAAACTGGGTTTCAAGTTTCCATCAGCCCCCTTTCCCGTGGAGGCTAAAGGGGTTATCCACAGGTCAGAAAATAATTTCCCTCTGTAAAGCCACCTTACACTGATGCTGATGTCTCTAGTGAAGTGTCAGGAAATTTTATGCCCAAGCAAAGCCGGTAGAAAGCCAGACATCCCCTGAGTTTTCCTTGGGTGCACATATTTTTACTGTGGATGGAAGAAAAAAAAAGTTGTTTTCCCTGATTTACAGCTTCAGCAGACATAAAGTGGGATCTATATTTAGCAATGATTTTGAACCTTCGAGGGGTAGCCAGGGGTGGGTGCTTGTACCTGCCCAGCCTGGCCGCAATGGGACTTGCCGTGGCAAATGCTCGCTGAGCCAACTCTGATTTATGGAACCGGGCTGTGCGTTCCACGGGGTTTCCATGTTTTAGCTTTTGCTGCAGCTGCCTTTCCGGCTCTCTTTCTGTGCTCCCGAACACAGCGAAGATGGAGGGAGCGCAACTGATGTAGTGCCTGAGATATTTTGCTGTTCCTTTTGTTTCTGGGAGTCAGTGAAACCATCTCTTAAGGGGAAGACCTGTTAGAACAGTAGCTATGGCAGGAGTCCATTCCAGGAAGCCCCCCCAACCCCAGGTCCAGTCCACAGTAAGAGATGCCAAATTAGCGGAACTCTTCGTTAGTTCCCCCCCCCAAACCTCCCCCCATCCTCCCTCCCCTTTCTGAGAATTTGCTTGGTGCCACCATATGGATGAATATCAGCAAATAGTAAATCTCTCAAGACACGTTAGCCTTTC